ATGACAAGTCCAGAAGACTCTACCGCCCTTAATATAGTAACGAATTCGCTAAAAACTGAGAACGGAAGATATGAGCTAAAATTACCATGAAAAGGTAATAGACATTTGGACAATAATTATACAATGGCGTTAAACAGATTACAAAATACGGAAAAACGGCTAATGAAAAATAAAAGTCTAGGAGAAGAGTACAATAATGTTATTAAGAAGTATCAAGAAACTTAGAGATAATCAGAGGATACTTAGAGAAAATCAATAAAAGGGATCTTGGAGATGGTTGGTACTTACCACATTTTCCAATTCTTTGTCCTGATAAATCGACTACAAAAGTCAGAATTGTGTTTGATGGGTCTGCAAAATATAATGGTAAATCAATTAATGATGTTATTTATCATGGTCCAAAACTTCAACAAGACCTTGTGGCTGTTTTGCTGAGATTTCGAAAATATCCAGTGGCTTTAGCTTGTGATATAGCAGAAATGTATTTAAAAATTGGAATACATAAAGATGACCAAAGGTACCAACAAATTTTATGGAGAAACCTAGATTCAACTGCCGAGCCTAAGGTATTTCAGTTTAATTGGCTTGTATTTGGAATCAACTCAGCGCCTTTTATGGCTCAATTTGTAACGCAAGAACACGCAAGAAAGTATGCAAAAAAATTTCCTTTGGCTTCTGAAGCTTCTGAAAACGGATGCGTCTTGTAAAGCTTACGGTGCTGTTGCTTACCAACAATGTTTATATGACACAGGAGAAGTGACCTGTGTGATCATAATGTCAAAAGCCCGAGTAAGTCCATTGCAATCTATTAGTATACCAAGACTTGAGTTACTTGGAGCTGTCTTCTTGCAGAGAAGATTGTCAAGGCATTGAAGCTGGAAACTAAGGACGTAACTATATGGTGTGATTGTCTTAACGTTTTATGGTGGATAAAAAATCAAAGTCGAAAGTTGAAACCATTTGTTGCCAACCGTGTTGGATTCATTCAATCAAAGACTGAACTAAAACAATGGAGATACATACCAACAAAAACTAATCTAGCTGATTTACTAACAAGAGGAACAGCAGTTAAATTATGTATGGTGGCATGGACCAAGTTTCCTTAATTCTTTAGAAGAATAATGGCCACAGAATTACATTGAAGTTACACAAGAGGCTTTAGATGAAGTAAAGAAAAATCTAGTATTAATGAATTTTGGATTATCCACTGAAGTAACAAAGCAATTGCTTGATATAAACAAGTTCTCATGTTGGAAAAAATGTGTCAGGATAAACGGCTGGATCCATCGGTTTATAGGAAATTGTTGATTTAAAACAGACTTTCGTAAAAAGGGTGATATAGCAGCTGATGAATATCATAAAAGCGAAAAAGAAATCATAGCTAAAGCTCAAAAAGAAAGCTTTAAAGAAGAATATAGCAACATTGAAAAAAGAAAACCGATATTGATATCAAGCAAAATTATTTCTTTAAATCCGCAAATTGACGAAGACGGATTATTGCGATCTTGCAGTTGATTGCAAAATGCCCATTACTTACCCTACGATGTCAAGTATCCAATCATTTTGTTGAGAGGATATACATTAACAAAATTGATTGTTAAGCATTACCATGACGAAGCCAATCATGTGATAAGAACAAATCAATTATTAACAAAACTATCAGAACGATATTGGGTAATACGAGGAGGAGAAGAAATCCGAGATGCAGAAGCAAAATGCAACAAATGTAAATTAAAAAGATGTAAACCTGCTCAACAGTTGATGGCCCCTTTACCAGCAATGCGCTTTAAAGAACCACTATGTGCGTTTGCTATAATTGGTATCAATTTTGCTGGTCCATTTCTTACTATGCAAGGTAGAGGGAAGATACGACAAAAGAGATACTTGTGCTTGTTTACCTGTTTACTATCACGAGCAGTACATCTTAAGATGGCTTATAATCTAGATACAAATTCATTCCTCAATGCCTTTTATCGAATGGTCAAAGCTGTCAAATGTGCAATGACTGGGATACTCGAAAAAGCCGATATTACAGATGAAGAACTCTTTACGGCATTTACAGGTGCTAAGAGTTTATTGAATTCTCGCCCACTAACATATCAGAGTGCAAATATAAAAGATGATATTCCATTAACTCCAAATCATTTTTTGATTGGGCAAGTTGGTGGACAGTTAGCACCTGACTCAGTTCAATCTAAAGGCTATCATCTTAAAAAGCGTTGGCGTGAAGTGCAAGAACTACTAAGTCATTTTTGGAAACAGTTGATGCGAGAATGGCTTTCATCTTTATCTAAAAGATATAAATGGACTCAGAAAAAACGCAAAATAAAAACGGATGACATCGTGTTAGTAATTTCTCCAGATACATCTAGAGGTCATTGGCCACTTGGTAGAATTACGGGAGTCTTTGAAGGTAAGGATGGACATGTAAGAGTTGTGAAAGTAAAAATTGGCGAAAAAGAATTTATACAACCAATAACGAGATTGTGTCTTCTTGAGTTTGATAATTAAATGTTTGATAGACTTGAGTCTATCAAAGAGGGGGAGAATGATTGGAAGAAAATTGAATTAGCATAAAATAAAAACAACATTCCGATACCACAATCGATATAACCAGTAAATAGTGCCAATATGGCTATAACGAACTAAATAACAATTATGTGGCGACTATTTGAACAATAGTGTTTTTTTGTTATTAATTGAAATTTTTGTATAAATAGAGTTTTTGTTGTTGCTGATTTTCAGATACAAAAATATAAAGAATATAAGTAATATAGTTAATGTAAAAACGGTTAAGATCTTAAAAATATAAGTTATAATACATATTCGGTATTATTTGTGATCACCATTGGATCATATATATATATATATATATATATATATATATATATATATATATATATATATATATATATATATATATATATATATATATATATTAATAGTGTATTTTATTGTGATTATTGTGTATTAGTTATAGCTACAAGCTATAACTAATACACAACAATATTATATTATTATATAAACAATTTATTGTACAACTATAAAATTGTCATTATATACCATAAAATCACCTAAGTTTGGTTACCATGTAACTTCGGTCAAAAAGCATGCAAAACTCAAATTTTGCAAACCTTTTTTTCTCAAATAATATTTTTAATTAGTTCATAAATATGAATCTTTAAAAAAAAAAAAATTTTTTGTATGCAACCTGCTGAAATAATTCTCCAACAAAATAATTTGAAAAAATGCATACTATTAAAATCTAAAATAAACAAATTATTAAAATAGTCAAATTTAATCTTAGCATTATTTAGAATTTCCAAATTAATTATATTTACAAAATAAAATTATTAGTTTTTGAAAATTAACTACTTTTTTTATAAAAATTAGTGAAATTTTGAAATACTCTAACTTCGGTCATTCACGAATAAACAATGAAGGAGACAATTAGCTGTAATATTGTGAAATGTTGATAAGTGTTGCAAATGTAAAATGTACTGGTAACTTTACCGGTGAATTTACCAGTAATTTTGACATTTTTAAAACAGATACACACCATGGTATTTTATTTGATTAAAAAATTTGTTCATAATTTCAAAATTAACTGAAGGTTTTGAGTTCTAAAAAATATCAAGTTTGTGACAATTTTTTTGGAGATAAAATTACAGCTCGACAACAATTATGGATGTGTTGCAAATCCTGTGGCGATTAGTTGTGTGGATCTTGCTGTTCAACTATGGTCAATGATATGTGCAAAAATTGCCAATAAATATGCAAAGCTCAATTAAAGCAAAGTAATGTTTTTTTGTTAATTAAAATAACCTTTATAAGTTAATTGAAAAATATCTTTTTAATTTTATTCACCAGTGGCGTAGCAAATGTGATGATTGCCAAAGTAATAAAATAGTTGACGAATTACAAAGAAAATTAAAGATGCTGCCACTTATATTTAAAAAGGCCTTTTTTTATGTTTTCTTTGGTGTTTCTTTATGTTTTCTTTGGTGCCCCAAAAGCCTTTTTTTTTGAGCCAGAGGCAACTCCCTCCTTAGTTTCTGGTATTACCTGAATTTATATCATAGTTTTAAATAAAACATTTAAAAATTAGTTTTCATTATTTGTGATGTTAAATTTGTGATACATTATCAGTATTCATATAGCGGCTGAACTTAAGAGATGATATTGAAAGTTTGGTCAAAGTAGATGTTTGGTCAAAGTAGATGTTTTCATTTCAAATTAAATACTGAGTACTAGTTTTTATTTTTCATTTTTTTGTTTTCACAATATCAATTATCAATATAATTTTCTGTATGTTTCAGGAAAAAAAAATTGAAATTTTTTTTGTTGATGCGTGATAAATAAATGTTCAAAGCTTTAGTGACTGAACATAGGCGATTATATGGTAACTATAATATGATAGTTTTATAAATAAATAATAATAATTTTGAAATGGAATTTCAAAATTATAAAAAATTGCTTTATCTAACAAAATATTCATAGCTATGGTAAAAGAACATGTAAATTATTTTTTAGCATTTAAGTTTTAATCATATGAAAAAAACTAAATTTGTCAATTGAGATTATCTCAATCATGAAACTTTAGAATTTTTAATTAATGTAATCATGTCAATAAAGTATGATGCAATTTAGTTAATTGAGGTAATAAAAGTATGATGCAATCTTTGATCACATTTTCACTTTAATTATGTCAAATTGATGAATCATTTTTGTTACATAATTAAAGTGTAAAGCAATATAAAAACAATATTTTAAAGTGTGATGCAATATTTTTAAAGATATGCAAGTTAAATTTAGTATAATATTTTAACATAATTTTGCTTTTTAATTGCTATGAAGTATAATACTATGATTTGGTTATTAACTACTTCAGTGTAATCTTTTTTTTTTTTTATAACTCTAAGATGCTGCTATAAATTACCTCAATGTTAACTGTTTGTTTTAATTACCTGTTTAAAAAAACTGTTTGATCTTTTATACAGATACTAAATGCCAACAAAATGAATTCCAATGTGCCAATGATAAATGTATTGCTTTGAATCTTGAGTGCAATCATAAAAAAGATTGTGATGATAATTCAGATGAAATTGGGTGTCACTGCCAAGAATTTCAATGTTTAAATGAGAAATGCATTGAATCAAAGTATGTTTGCGATGGCTTAAATCAATGTGGTGATGGCAGTGATGAAAGTCAATGCTCAAGTATGAACATCTTTTGCTTAAATATATCTTTTTTTTATGCTTTTGCTTTATTGAACATTGTATTACTTTATTTTTACATGTTACATGTTTTTGCAATACTATTGTGACAAAAATATATCCCCCCCCCCTTCACTTTTAAAAATTATACTAATGTAAAAAAATACTTTTTTTTTTAGACCCAACAACTGTCAAAACTCAATTGGTTTCATCAAAACCTGTTATCTGTGGTTACGCAGACTTTAAATGTAACAATGATAAATGCATACGGTATACTCAGCGATGCAATGGCCAAAACGATTGTGGAGACAACAGTGATGAAAGTAGTTGCATTGGTAAACAAATATTTTTCAAAAATTATTATTTAAAAAAATATACAACATGTAACATCATTACACCACTACTGAATTGTTGTTTATACACTCTCTACACTAATTACTTATCAGTTTTTATTTATGAGAGCTTAATTTGTTGTTTTAATGACATCATTGTTTTAATGACATCTATTCTAGAAAAACTATTTTGATGGTGCTACCTCAGTGTCGATGTGTTCCATAAAGATACATTGATAGAAATATTGCAAATAAAAGTATTTTACTGTGAAATTACATTAGCATTGACCTAAAAATTTAGCTTTAAAATTATTCTTTTATGTTTAGTTAATTCTTTTATCTCAAGTTTTATATTTTTTATTATAAGTCAATGAGGAAGTATTAAGTTTAAAACAAATGTGTAGTTTTTTTCACTTTACTAAATATTAATATCTATTAATATTAATATCTATGCTGACCTTTCAAAAATGCATAAATGCTGAATAATGTTAAAAATATCATTTTAGTTCCATAATTTTCAGAAAAGTGTTTTTCAAAGACTATTAAAATTTGAAGTTTTTATAGGCCAAAGCTAACTAATAATACTCTCTTTCTTTTGGACTCTTAGTTGACTTCAAGCTAGAGATAGTATCTTATTAAGAATACTAGTCTTGGGCTGAGATAAACTGCATCCGGCTACTGTCTTGTAAAAAGCTTACTTATAGAAACTTTTTGTTGGCCAGCTTTTTACTTCTACATCAAATAGACTATTATAAATGCATACCTTTGTTACATTGTTTCTGTCTAAGAAAATGAACACTTGATATTCTTGGTTCTACTCTAAACAAACTATTTTTTTATGTGCCTTCTGCAACATCACTCAGTTTCTTTTGACTTAAGTATTGTATTTAAGATCCTTCTTACTTCAAAACAGTTACTACTCAATGAGTCATCGATGAGTACTCGATGAGTCATCTACCCTTCATCTTCTAGGATTAACTCTTACTTCTGATCTTTCTTTGAAACTTTATATACAATCTGTTGCAAAATTAGTTATTAGTTTTTTATTAGAAAATTAGTTGCATCTCTTTATTGAGCTCGACACTTTCTAACTCTGGATTCTATTCTCTATCTCTATAAATCTCAAATCCGTCCTTGTATGGAATACTGTTGCCATATCTTGGGCAGATCTTCTAATGATACTTTTTCTCTTTTAGACAAGGTGCAAAAATGCATTGTAAACATAGTTGGACCTGCTCTTGCAGCCAACCTACAACCTTTGTTACATCGTTGTAATGTTGCTTCTCTTTCTCTTTTCTACAAATGCTATAATGGGCACTGCTCTAAAGAGCTAGCGTCTTTTATGCCATCTATAAAAATTCCTTCTCATTTTACCCGTCATTCAATCAAGTGTCATCCTTTTTCTGTTACTGTTCCTAAGTGCTCCAAAAACTCTTATTCATCAAACTTTTTCCCTCAGTTTTTTTTTTTAACAATTCAGTTCTTTGGAATTCGCTTCCTTCATCTTGCTATCTTGATTCATATAATTTGCAATCTTTTAAGTCGTCAGTCAATCGTTATCTTGTTCATATATATATATATATATATATATATATATATATATATATATATATATATATGTATATATATATATATATATATATATATATCAGGAAAGGCGTGCCGTTTTTTGTCTTGTATGACCACACGCGATTATAATATTTTAGAAAACGTGAACATGGCCGTTTGCAAGTTTTATAATAATGCTGAAAAAATTTCAATAACAAAAAAACAAAACTAACAAAATAAAAAGAGATTGAAATAGAAAAAAATATAAACAAATTATTAATTTAAATAATTTGTGTACTGTTTTTATTTTTGTTTCTTTAGAATTACATTCAGCAACAAAATTAAACAAGGCAAAGCAAAAAAAAAAAAACAGTTTGAAGTCTACAATAAAAAGAATGATTTTCCTTTTCTTTACTTTTTTTTAAGAGGATAGCAAAAATACAAATTGCAATGTGTTTGTAAAATTTATTTGTATAATTTTAATATAACAGCAAAAGTTGAACTAAGCGAATGCAAAACGCAAAATCTGGAAAAATACCTAGTAATCAAAATTTCAGTTTATACAAAATCGTGTTCCTTGTTTTCAAGGGGAGAATCAACTTAAATTTGTTAGCAAAAAATAAAAAATAAAACAATAAACTAACGATTACAAAAGTAATAACACTCTAGTCACTAACTGCATAACAAAAGTAATAACACTATAATAGTGTTATTACTTTTATAATGCACTTATAACTTTTAAAATTCATTCTTTGTTCAAGCAACATTAGTATTCCCAAATTTTAATTGAAGTAGAAAAATATCTAGAAGAATAAAGTGGATGTTCAAATAATATTAAAACTAAAGTAACTTAAAATCGTGACAAACAACTTTATGAAAATGTATCGTATTAAAAGTTTAGCATTATGAAAAACGTTACTAATGAACTGTAAAAACGTGCATTAATTTTAAAATTAACCAATAAAATTTTTTTATTGGTTGATTTTAAAATTAACGTGTGTTTTTACGTATCGTTTTTCATAATTCTATACTTTTTATAAAGTAACGTTGTTTAAGCTATATGTGAAAGTTCTTGAAATTTTTAATAATATTTTAATATCCGCTTTATTTTTTCTAGATACTTTTCTACTTTAATAAATGTTTGGAATTAATAATGTTGTTTGAGCAAAGAATGAACTTTAAAAGTAATAAGTGCTTTATAAATATAATAACACTATTATAGTTTTATTACTTTTATAATGCAATTAGTAACTAAAGTGTTACTACTTTTGTAGTCGTAAGTTTATTGTTTTTGTTTTGTTTTTTGTAACTTTCTTGCTAGCAAACTTTTAATAATTTGCTCCTTGTAAACAAAGTACACAGCGTTGCATAAACTAAAATTTTAAAGACCTAATATTTTACCAGAGCTTGCAAACACGATCGTATAATTTAACGTATAATTTAACTCTTGATATAAACTTGTTACATTATAATTATACAAATATATTTTACAAACAGATGACGATACATATGTTATTTTTCCACTTTAAACAAAAAAACACATAAAATATGGGAAAGTCATCCTTTTTAACGCCTAAAATCGTTTTTTTTTTTTTTTTTTTTTTTTTTTTTTTTGCTTTGACTTGATGAAATTTGTTGCTGATAATAATAACCACTAAGAAAAAACAAAAATAAAAACAACACACAAATTGTTTAAACTATTATTACTGTTTTCTATTTAAGTTTACTTTAATTTCTTATGTAGTTATTAAATTGAAAACAATTTTTCAGTAACGCATATAATATAACTTGCGCAAATAGCCGTGATCACGTTCTCTAACTTGAAAAATGTTTTCGTGGTCGTACGAGAAAAAAAACCGAACGCCTTTCCTGGGAAGGCTTGATATATGATATTTGATGAATATTTATCTAAGATTTGAAAGATATTTGCATATTATTATTATTCAGACATCGAACATTGAGTTTTTTTTTATTCTTTAATTTTATGTCTTTTTTTTTTAAAATCAGTTCATAATATTTTTTGTCCATTTTGTATTGTGAAAATAGCTCAGTTTTTAGAGCCATAATTTTTAACAATTGCATTAATTCAGAAGATTTTCCTTGAATTTTGTACATATCCAATTTTAACTTATTTAAAGACTTCATTGAATAATGTTCTAAAATTGACTTTTAAAATTGTACCTTTTTCATACACGATTTGTTTTATTTTTGTGTAACTTTAGAAAAATAGAAGGTTGCTGCTTTTTGAAAATTTATGGAAACCAGTAGTCATGTAGTCATGTTTTTCATACTGTTATCAGATCGATTGGATTGTATACTTTTTTAATGTAATATTCTATAACACTGTGTACTGATTATTGAATTTTTAAAACTCACCTAACTAATTATTGATTTTTTTTTTGTGAAATGCAACTGTCTGACTAAAGAATGGTCTTATTAATGTAAGGAATATCTTTTAGTTCATTTTTCAATATTTTTACAACTGCACTAGCAATATCATTGGTTGACCTCCATATTAAAATTACTGCTTAAATTTCAAGCATTAAATTTACTACAAAAATAAAAGCTCGATACATTAGCATTTTTCAGATTAGAAACTTTTTCAAGATCAAAAATAACAACAATTGTTTCATTAATTATCAAACCTTTGTTCTTTCTGTCTGTCCTTTGTTCTTTCCTCAAATCATTCTATTTTTATTTTGATGTGCACTTTGTGCTGATACTTTCTTTCTTCTAATGGTTGTGATTTTTAACTCTCTCCCTTTATCACATATTTCTTAGGTTTAAAAAATAATAAGTTATAATCCTCATTAAAAACTTTTCTGTAAATGTTTTCTTTTACAGGATTTTCATCTGTAACCTTGTACATATCACATATTCTTGTATGTATTATACATACTTGTATAATACATACAAGAATATGTATTATACAAGTATGTACTTATCATGCATTCTTGTACATATCATACATTCTTTACAAACTCGTACATGTGTGTTGACGTGTTCTAAATAATACTTGTACACATGTGATTTTCTGCATTTAGTATAACATAGATGATTTTTTTCTGGGAATTTCCGGAATTCACTTAAAACTCCTTTAATTTTCTAAAAATTTCCGGATGTTTTTTGTTATGAATTTGAAAAAAATTTATATATTTTTACATAAAATTTTAAGTACGACAACTTTTGCATTTAAACAAATATGTTTTCTATAAATAAATTTTTCACGAGATCAATTTTTGTAACAATTTTTTTTCTATTTTTTTTTGCTTTTTAATTCATTCAAATTAATTTTTTTGAATATTAGAAATTCCTTTTTGTAAAAATTTAAATATTCTAAATTTCATTTTAAAAGTTTACGAAAGCTTTTGCTGTCAGTTAATACGATCAATTTTTAATAAAATAATTTTCCAGGATTTTCATAGATAAAAATTTCCGGGATTTTTATAAAGTCAAATACTCATCTATGTTATAAAAATGTTGTTGTTTCTCATCTGACAATTTATAAAAATGTTTCATTATTTGATTTCTTTATCTAAAAAATAATCACTGGCTTTGTGACTGCTTTAACTCATCACAATCTGTTACGAAAATTTAAACAGATTCTAGTTCAAACAACTCTGATGCTAATTCATCACTGCTTAACTGACCTTTGTGAGGCAGATCATTATTAAAGTGCTGGGCCTAAGGCCTGCAAAAATGTTTTAAAGCTTGAAGATCAATATACTTTGCACAGCTGATTGGCATTCTCTCATTGTACAATAATGTGAGGGGTTTTTGTGATAATTGTTTTTTTGTTTTTTTATCAAAAGCTTTTGATGTAACAACTCTTTCAAAAGGTCTGCTTCAACTGAATCTATATTGTAGCATAGCAAGGCGTTCTTGAGAGAAAAATAACTCTAAGAGTATTTTATATCTTATTACTTTGATGTAATAAGAGTGGTAATAAAGAAGTCTTTTTTCTTTTTTTCGTTGAGTTCTCTGTTTGACACTTAAAACCTCAAGTAAGAAAGCTGTTTTGTTGATTTTTATTTTGCATTTTGTTAAAATATTAAAAACTCTATCTCTTCTGTTGTTGTTTTCTGAAAAAATCTTATAATGTTTGCAATTACACATAAAACCCATCACATACAAAGATTATTGTTCATTACTATCTTGTTTCTATTGATCAAGTTTTTTCTTTTTTTTTTTTTAATTTTTGAGGTATCTGGATTTTGACATTTATCTGCCATTTTAAAAATGATAAAAAAATTATTTTTGCAGTAAAAATAAATTTGATTGGGTGTTATGCAAATGGTTGTAAACAGTGTCCCAATACATTACAAAGGACTTTAGACATCTTCAGTTTACCCCTTGAACCATTTGAACATATCTGGTTACCCCTCGTGACTGCTTTTTTCACATGGAAATATAGATGTGATCTGACTTCATCTTTGTAAAGATGTATAATCAACTTACCTACAACATTGTAGGGATAGTAACTCCAAAATTGGTAATATGTGACATCACTGGTTTTCCCCTTGCACCCTTGATATATATTTTGGTGGGTCAAAAAACAAAATTTTTGAAAAATATCTGTAGTATTCACCTTTATGTGTCCTATAAGATAAAATAACACTGGACTTAAAAAATATATTAGAGCTCAAGACTGTTAAACACTTAATGAGTCCCTAATATTAATAAAAAAAGTTTTTCAAAAGTATGTCTTATTGCTTCTTATATGAAGCGAAATTATATACAAGTTTACAAAAATAATTTTTTTAATAAATTGATTAATATTTTTAAAATATAATTCCACTTCATTTGAGACCCAACAAGACCCCCAAAAAAAGAGAGAGAAATGAGACATATACATTACACTCTGTTATGTTAATCCTTAAATGAATCAGTTGATAAAGTAAAAGCGAAAAAAAATTGTAATAAAATTAAATAATATAAACAGGAGAAAAAAAAAGGTTCTAAATTAAAAAAGCAAACAACATTCTAATCGATAAAATTGTGTTTTTTTGTGGATTCAAAAAATATACATTACGCAAAAATAGCAGTTAAAATCGTTTCATAAATAAAGCCTTGTTAAGAAGTTTATGCATTTTACATACAAAATAGGGATTTTACTTACATGTTAAGCCATTTGCATCATACAAAAAATCTTATTAATTGAATGTTTTAAAATTGCCTTTTGATATAGTTTAAGCAACTTTTATTTAGAATTAATTGTCGTAATTAAATGTTATAAAAAATGTTTTCACTGCAATCGTGAAATAGTTTAATTTTTTCATACTTAAAAAAAATTGTGAGAAAGCAAGCAAAAGATTGTTATGTTATGTTATGTATAAGTTTGTTTTGAGAAATAATTAATATGAATATGTATATATGTATATATATATATATATATATATATATATATATATATATATATATATATATATATATATATATATATATATATATATATATATATATCTGAGTGTGTATGAAAATATCATACTAAAAGCTATCTGCAGGGAGTTCAGTTTATACATTTACTGAGGATGTAGGTTTTAGCTGGTTTTAATGAATGACATTTATTACTGCAATATAAAATTTTCCCTTTATTTTTTTATTTTTCTGAAAAAAACTAACCTGAATAATGTCATTTTAAACTTATTGTTAATGTGTTTATTTTTTGTTATTAATTATTTTCTTATATTTTGTTTTTTGGTAATATTTTGTTAAAATATTTGTTAACAAAATATAAATTAAATTAACATGGTTATAAAAATTTTTTATTTTTATTTAGGTTTTTGTAAAAATTCAAATGGTGGTTGTGATCATATTTGTGAATATGACCTAAAGAATGGTGTCCAGTGTTCCTGCTATTTAGGCTTTAAGCTTGATTCTAATCGTCAGTCTTGTATAGGTTAGAAACAGTTATTGTTATGTCCATAATTTGTTATTGTTATTATGAAAAATCAGTTGATCATTGCTAAAAGCCATGACTATCTTAAGTCCATTTTTGTTGTTCTAAGAAATGCTCTTAACGTTTTAAATTTAATTTGGTTTATGAAGACTTTTATGGTTTAATCCAACAGATCAACAGATTAAACCATAAAAGTCTTAGTTTTTGATGTTTATGGCTCATGGAGAAGTCATAGAAACCAAATAAAAATTAATCAAAAAAGATAAAAAATCAAATTTTGCTTATAAGAATGTTATCATGATAAGAATGTTATCATAAAAAATATACATTTAGTTGGATAGTATTGTTTAGGATTAGTGGTTAGACCTTGGAATTGACACAAGTAAAAATCAGATCTGTGAGTTTAAGCTTTAAATTTATGGTATGGTCTGCATAATAGAGTTTTAAAAAGTGAAAAAAATGTATATATAAATAACAAAAATGTTAGCTTTAAAATAAATATACAATAGGAAATTTGAATTTTAGAATTGAAAACTTAGACAGAAAGATCAAATTATTGAAAGAGGAGAAGATATATAACTTTTTTTTTTGTTATTTTTTTATTTTAGCTACCAATTTTATTATTAGATTATTTTATGTTATAATATTATTGTTAAAATTTATTTATTTACATTTCCTTTAACTTATGATTAGTTTTTTTTATATATAATTTATTTACAAACTTTTTTTTCTTTTATAATATCCACCCTTTTATCACTTAACCAATTAGAATTACTGATCACTCTCCTACAATCATTGAATATATTTTTTCTTATATTGTCATATTATTTTTATTAGTATTTTCCACAATTATTTTTGTCACGTCCATAATTGATATTGTTGCGTCCATATATTTTATTTTGCTGTGTCCATAATTATTTTTGTCACACCCACAATTTTCATAATAAAAATATTTTAGCCTATATTGAAAAAACAAAAGCAGTACAAGCCACAATAATTCAAATGCTGAAACCAAAGAACAAACAAGAAACAAAACTGCAACCAAAGAAAATATTTCCCCAATAAGTAACCGATAAATAGCAAGTCAATCTATTGTAAATGCAACAGGTCTTTCAATCAGGGCAATTCAAAACTGGATACGAAAACTTGAACAAAATTAAAATACAATGCTTAAAAATGTGACACAGCAGCACATGATAATATTAAAAGAAAGAGAGAAATTGAGTTATTAATTATTGCAAATAATGCTATACAATGCTCTTATATCTGAAGATATTGTTGGCATAGGAACAGCCACAAAAAGTCATAAAGACTAATCCAAATTAGCGTCTGTTATTGACTAACATTTTTGCGTACCAAAGTATTTTATTCAAGCGCTGAGTTTATGATGACTGGATTTGAACTCGTATTGCACATTAGTCTGGGTTTTAACAATTCAATTAATGCTCTAACCAACTGAGCTATCCAGCCACAAAGTAGAAGTTCTTTTTCCCATCACGGTTTTTACCTGCAATGATATGACTATCAAGAAACATGGTTGCATATATATTCATTTCAAGAGTAGTTTTTTCTTGACATGGAAAGCTATATATAAATATTTAGTTTCTGTTTTTTTTTTCTCACAAAGAAAACAGAAACTAAAAATTGCCACAATGTTGCTTATGATTTATACTTTTTTATTCTTTTTAAATGTTGGTGTAATATGGGGGATCAGAAATATAGCTTTATGTTTGTAAAACTTCATAAATTAATATCCCTTGATATCAAAAGCCAACATCTTACTTTCCATAACAGCTTTAAATGTTCCATTGAAAATCTGATATTCATTATGTCAGATACACTTCTTTGACATTGTTTAAGCTCTTTTAATGGGTCAGAGTCTGTGTTTGGTTGTTTACTGAATCTTGTACATCTGACAAAAAAATTAGCTTTGAGCAATTTTTGAGAGCACATTACAAATTTTCTAAATAAAAAATAAAAATAAGTCTTGCTTGAATATACATGGAATTAGGATAGTTTTTCATTATTTCATATTTGGTTTCATAAATGGTTTTTATGTGCCCTAGGAATATAAACCAAAAATGTAATTTTTACTAAAAATGGACTAAAGATAGTTTTATTTTGCAGGGCTCAAACAATTTTTGTGCAATATTTAACTTTTTGTGCAGATATTAATGAGTGTTCTTCACGGCCTTGTCCTGAACATTGTACAAATGAATATGGGTCTTTCAAATGTGGTTGTAATCCAGGATTTCAATTACAAGATGATCAACGTACATGTGTTGGTATTTAAATTTTTTTATGTATTTCTTTAATTTTTTGTTTTTATAATCATTTTTCTAGTATTATCATTAATTTTAAAAGTTGTATATATATATATATATATATATATATATATATATATATATATATATATATATATATATATATAATATATATATATATAAAAACTTGCCAACCTAAAGTTTTTGATGCCAGCAATTTTCAAAGAACAGAGCAGTAATAAATTAGTAAAAAAAATATTTATTCATCTGGGGCTTCTACTGTCAGTTTCTCCTTCAACAGATAATGACAGAAACTGACTCTCAATATTATCTAAGTATTGAAAGTGTTATGACACTTGTTTTTATACTTGTGAACTCTTTAAATAAATGTTTTGGCCAAGATAGTCTTTTCAATATATTTAATTGCATGATCTCTTAAATGATTGTATATGTATATGATTGTATATGGATAAAATTATGTTATGAAATAATTTTTTACATTTTTTAACACAAACAAATTAATTGAATTGAAACAAATTGTTAATTCCAAAAACGTTTTCTTTTGTAAAAATAAACAATTAAGATTTCAAAACATAACAATAAATATTGTTTACATATTAGTAACAAAAATTAATCTCTGCACATAAAATTAATCTCTGCATATATAATTAATCTCTGCACATAAAATTAATCTCTGCACATAAAATTAATCTCTGCACATAAAATTAATCTCTGCACATAAAATTAATCTCTGTACATAAAATTAGAGCTCTTATTATAATAGTAACAAGCAAATACAATTTTGTTTGTTCATTCAATAAAAAGTAATGGTTTTAAAGGTGTATGCAATATCTAATTCAAAGTCCATTACTATATTGTAAGCCAAAAGAGACTTTTCTCAAAATCCTAAAAAAACTTTAATTTTTGAAAGAATTATCTGTGAAAAGAATAAAAATATAATTAATTTGCATAAAAAAAATAGCAATAAATAACAAATAAAGATACAAAAAATATTTTAATTAAAATCAAGTCATTTATTATTAATATAATGATTTTAAATGTTAAATATTTAAAAATTTCTTTAGCTAGCCTGGAAATTTAGTTGACAGAAATCCAGGTAAACAAAAAAATTAAATTATTTTATTTATTCTTAATTTATTTTTAGCTTCAATTAAATTTTTATTAATCTCAAAATAAATTTTAAACTAAATTGCTTTTGATTTGTTAATGAAAAAAACAACAACACCAAACTTTGTTATTTAGCTTTCACATTATTATTTCACGTTACTATTATTACATTATTATTTTACATTATTATTTTGCATTAGATATGCAAATGATAAACATGAAATATTGTTATCTAAATAAGATGTTTTTTTATTTTTCTCAAGTTCAGACTGTACTTTTACAATATATTATATAAAATGCAAAAAGCTAAAAAACATATTTTATTAAATTTCAGCTTTTACCAAAATTTTATTTGGTAAAAGCTGAAAATTATTTTTAAAGATTACTCTACTTACCAGATATTTTTTTAATCATTTCAGACAAAATAAATCAAAAATGTTGTCAATTAAAAACTTTTAGTTTTAAATGCATAATATTCAATTTGATATTAGTTAATATCAAAGATATATACAACCTACAAAATTTTTTAATGTTTGTTGTTCTCACGCTTTTTTACTTAAAATTTCAGAACGATTATTATTTCAATAGGTTTTAAAATCTAATATAATGTTATTTTTTTAGTTAAAACATGGAAGTATGTAACAGATGGGTGTTCATCAAGCCACAAATAACAAAGCAATTTTGAGTCATCTGGGGAGTATGCTTGTAACCAACAATAAAAAAAAAAAAGTTTTGCTGGATAAAAACAACAAAAATTCAATGAAATGATTTTTATTAAAACATTAAAAAAAGAATTGTTCTAAGGATGCACTACATAGTTTTAACTAATAATGTAACTGTAGTTATTTTACAAAATGTTTATTAAAATTTAGTAATCAAATAGAATCACTTTATTTTAAAAGCATATTTTTAGTTTTACTTTCTTTCTTATTTTCTTGCTTCAAATACAATATTTTATTAAAAAAACAACTAAAACAATTTTTTAAAAATCAAAAAAACTGTTTTCTAAATTACTAAAGCCTAAAGTTTTGTTAATTGAATATCATAATTACTTTAATGCTAGTAATACTCCATTCATTTAATATGAAGTTTAAGAAAAAGTTGGCGTTTCATTGTTGCCATCAATGTTTATACTTGAGTATTATTGGCAAACCGTCAAAATTCTATATTTTAAAATTATTTTAAACACACCTATTTGCATCAACAAATAAAGATCAAGCATTTAAGATGTCGTTTTCTTATTGTTTTACAAAACAAAAGGTTACAAGCATAGTCTCAAAACATTTCAATGTTGTTGAACTTTCGTCTGTTTTATACTTTCATGGTTAAAACCGCTTATTTACACGTTTATGGTTTTTTGTAATATTATTTAAGATCAGAAAATTTATTAAATTTAGTTTTGTTATAGTTATGTTAAACACATGTGGAGAAGAAACATGTTAGTTAAGTTAAACGCATGTGGAGAAGAAGCATGTTAGTTATGTTAAACACATGTGGAAAGAAGGCATGTTAGTTATGTTAAACACATGTGGAAAAGAAATATGTTAATTAAAAAGCATTAAACTTTTTTTAAATTTGATACAAGTTAAGGTTTTCATTAAATTTATTCAAAATATGACAGAAATGCAACAGTGTTACACAAAGCAAACTCAAAACAAATCATAATGCCTGATAGAACTGTTATTGAAAAATGGAGGTTTAAATCCTGCAGCTTTCAAAAAAATGATTCAGATGAAGTAACTTTATTTAGGTGTAAAATTTGCTGAAAATAATCAGAGCTATAAAAAAGCTCTGAATATCACAATAAATTTAAAGGCTATGCTTAAGATAAAGGTTGCTGCTAAATTAGCAAAAAAAACATTTGTACACGCAACATCAGTCATAAAAAAGAATTTTAGACCATATTTTACATTCTCATATGCATGTTGTAAACAGGTGTAAACTATCTACTCCTTTTTTTAAACAATTTGTCATTAACAAAATCTTTGCCTACAGCACATAAACTAAATTTGTATTTCTGAACAATGTTCTTTCTATGATCTAATAAAATGTAATAAATAAACTATGATTTTTTTGTTTGTTAAAAAACAAAAAAATCATAGTTTATTTATTACATTTTATTAGTTTTAAAGTTAAAACTAAAAAAACCACAAAAAAATCTTTGCTTCATATAAAAATCTTTAATTCATAAATTTGCTAAAATTTAAATAAAGTTTAATTGTTACATTCTTTAAAATATTATTGCTCTTATAAGACAATGCTTTTATAATTACTTAATTATTAATTTTTTTCTAACAGAATGCAACAAATCCTAATTGACTTCAGGTAGGCACTCCAGTGCCAACCTTAATATATATATATATATATATATATATATATATATTATATTTGAGTATGTTTATTAGCCTATCCAATAATTTTTTATGTAAAGCGGCTAATTAGTGGCATAAAGGTCATATTATATGAAATTTTTTTCTTATATAGAATTTTTCTTGCTAGAAGTATTTGCATCAATTGTTAAAAATTATGCTTTTTGCGATTTTTTTACTTAGACAAATTTCCAAGCATTGGCATGAATAAAGATCTCTTGATTCTGAAGCAAATGTTGCAACAAAACCTAATATCTATTTTACATTTATTCATGTGCTTATATATATAATATATATATATTATATATTAAAATAATAGTTAAGTATAATTAAATTTGTGACATTACTCAGAGTTTCACACTGCAATCATCAGGCGTTACAAACAACCATAACAACAACAAAAATTATATACAAAAATGCAATATAGTTTTAGCTTAGATAACGTTAAAGTTGCAGATAACAAATTCGTTTTCATGGCAACATTTTGATATTAATTCATTTCATTTATTCAATAGTTTCAAAGATGAGGTAATGATATGATATTTTTCTGTTGAACAAAGGTTACACGACTTTCTTCCAGGTTTCACCCTATCAATAATTTTCCATGTAAGAATATGATATGAAAATCCCTTTTTTTTTTATTTCCCAGAAAGTTCTGTGGCATTAGCTTTACTATATATATATATATATATATATATATATATATATATATATATATATATATATATATATATATATATATATATATATATATATATATATATATATATATATATATATATATATATATATATATATAAATATATATATAAATTTTCAGTTTAAGACAAATATCTCAAGAAAATATGTAACAAAATAATTCTTAAATGTATTTTTAAAATTTAGAGTTTATTGTTAGGCATCTTATCAAAACTCATATTGCTAGAACCATTCAAAGTGTTTGGAGTTATAGACTCAAAGCCAATAGTGAGGGAGTAGTTACCATAGTTAGCTCCACTTTTAATTGTTTCTTCGTTTTTAATTTTTTCTTTCATTCATTTTTAATGGTTTTTTACAAGAACTCTTTATTTGGAGTAGCTTGTGAAGCTTCTCTTCGCTCATCACACGTTCTACATTATCTTGAATAAATTTTACTGTGTAAACAGCAAAACTTAATTTCTTATTGCAAAATATTTTTGTTGAAGCAAGAAAGTACATTTCTTGTTTTAACAAATAAATCCTTCAATTTATTACTAAAAACAAAAAATTCAATTTCAATCAAAAACAATAAATATCTTTTTGTTTTAAAAAACATATCTCCTACCTAGCAACTTTCCTATCTAACAATTTTTTAACACAAGAAATATGTTTCTTGTCTTAAGAAATAAGTTTCTTGAATTATAGTCAATGGATTTACAACTTTTATGTAAGTTCTGATGAGTTGTTAACAACAAAACTTTTACAAGTTTTGAAACTATCCAAAAAGTACAAGAGATTCTGATCCATAGGCATTTTTTCAAACTATGATTTAGAATATCAAAAATT